TGTATTATACTTGTATTAGACTTATATTCTCTTCCACCTGCTCCCCTGAGCTCGCTTGTATTATCTTGTATTATACTTATTATATTATATTATACTTGTATTAGACTTATATTCTCTTCCACGCGCTCCCTTGAGCTCGCTTGTATTATCTTGTATTATACTTATTATATTGTATTAGACTTATATTCTCTTCCACGCGCTCCCCTGAGCTCACTTCTCTTTCTTAAGGGTCTCTGTCCTTCTTTTCACCCAAGTCATGTCTGTGAACCTTCTAGTTCATTGCTTCATCTTCCCACCCTGGCCCGTCCTCCCCTGGAAACTCTAAAGTCAGTTCCCTTTGGTATTCAAGTCTTTGCCAATACAATCTTTTAGTATTGCATCTTGATTCTATGCCTTTTGGGGCGGGCGGGGGGAGGTTTCCTGTTCCAATCGCTAGTAGTTATAGCTTCTTGATTTCATCTTTGATCCATTTCAGGGTGAAGAAGTTGGTAGAATTCTTCAGTTTCTTCATCATTGACCTTAGTGGCTGGTTTGGAAATTTGAATTGTTGTATTAACCCTTGCAGGTATATGGATATTACCTTACCACACACCGCATGGCAGAGCTTGAACTGTTCCTCTGGACAGTGAATTCCGTGCCGTTCCTCTTCAAGTTTTCTTTCCTGGCACAGTAAATTATGTGGTGGCCCTACTGAGTCCAAAGGAGTCCATTTCTGTTCACAAATATCTAGGATAATGATCTTTATGTGTTCCATTTTACATTCGATGGCTACCAGTTTTTCTGGATGCATTCCAAGTTCAATTATTAGTGGATGTTTGCAGCAATTCCATCTCATCTTGAGCTTGCCACATTAGCAAATGAAGCTCTTGAGAGTTCTGCTCCAGGTCATTAAGGTCAATTCTTTTGAATTTGATGAGCGAGCTCATCTCCAGTCGAATTTACAGGGCCTTCCAACCTGAGGGGTTCATCTTCTGGCACTACATCAGATCGAGTTTTGTTGCTATTCAGAGAGTTTTCATCGGCTCATTTTCCATAAGTGTCTTCCTATTCCATTTTTATAGTCTGTCTTAGTCCGGAAGCTCTGCTGATACTTGTTCACGGGCGACCCTGCTAGTATTCTCAATGTGAGTGCTATCGTTTCCAGCATCACAGTAACATGCAAGTCACCGCAGTAGCGAACTGACAGAAAAGTGACAATCGGTGTATTTAAATCAAAAATATATTAGGTTTCTTTGTAAAGTCCAAATCTATCCCCGCTTCAAGTGTTTGCCAAGTAACGGTAAAGCTGTTGTTGGGGAAGGATACAGGCAACTTTTCCTTTGCTTAGCTTTGAAAATGAATAAATAATAGATTAGGCACGATCCCATACCCATGTCACTTTTATCAAGGCTGACTGTCTTACTTTTCTGGACTTGGCTGGATAATTTCCATGTTTCCTGTGAGTTACTAAATTTTGGGATGTTATGGTTTTTCTCTTCTTTCTTGCTCAGTCTTTTTTGTTGCTGTAGAATCATTCATTTTGAGTGGCATACTTAATCCTTAGGGAAAGATTGGTCATTTAATATCTGTCACCAAGCTTTTAGGGATCTATGCCTTTAGGAGCTAGAGAGTTTTCTCAAGATCCTCAGGTCTAGGGGTTGACCAAAAGTGTGTTTTAAAAATTAACATCTTATTTAATTTTCATTTGAATTAGGTGAACCTTCAAAAGTGTGATATATTGGAATTGAAAACTCTGACAGAACCTATGGACTTCCTGGTGATAGCTAGTAATCCGGAGACTTTGGAAAAAGTAGAGGGCTGTATGAAAATATGGATCAAACAGACAGAACAGGTAATTTTCAGAAACCATACATTTGTCGATGCCATGTGACTGGCCTAGCCAATGAAATCACAGTAGGTATATTTGCACATGTTCCAGAAAACTTACTGGTTAAACTGACTGTTCATTTATAATTATTAGTTAAGAAGAGATAATGATAATTTTAAGGAAAGGAAATAAGCATATATGTACACACACACATATTCTAATTCAGCATGGCATCCAAAATAAAGATTGAAGTTTAGCTTAATTTTTTTTCTATGAAAGCCCTAAATGAAGGTGGTTATTTGTCACATTGAAAAGGAAGCACACGATGTATGGATTGTTATAAGAGCTGTAAGAGCCCCCAGTAAAATGATTTATTAAAATTTAAAAAGTAAGCACAATTAAAATGAACTAAGGAAAGTCATGAGGCTTTTCAAAGCTGTGTATCTTATCCCTAAATGTTTGGCTGTGGAAACTTCCTAAAGTTAAAACCCCCAAACCAAACCCATGGTTGTTGAATTATGTGAGACTCATAATGACCTTACGGGGTGGAGTAGAAATACCCCTTTACATTTCCAAGACTTAATCTTTACGGAAGTAGACAGCCTCATCTTTGGCCCATGAAGTGGCTGGTGGTTTTGAACTGCCAACCTTGAATGTGCATTAAGTAGGTAGTTTTCTGCTGAAACATGTATGCATTTAATGAAAATTTCAGTGGAGTTTTAAAACTGGAACTTGTTCCCTTAGTGAAAGACTGTCATTCAAAGCATATAAATAAATAAATACCATCTTGGTTCAATAGCATCATTTGAAATGGTCATCCATCTTTCTTTGTTTCTTTGCTGGTTCCTGTTCGTCTCAATGGTCTACGTTTCCTTTGTTCTTTTGCAGGTCCTCGCTGAAAACAATCAGCTGCGGAAGGAGGCGGATGACCTCGGCCCCAGAGCTGAGCTGGAGCACTGGAAGAAAAGGCTGTCCAAATTTAACTACCTTGTGGACCAGCTGAAAAGCCCAGATGTGAAGACTGTGCTGGCTGTGCTCGCAGCTGCCAAGTCGAAGCTCCTCAAGGTCGGCAGCCAGCTCTTTATGCTTTCTGAATCGAGACTGTGAATTTCCTCTAGGTCTTTTCACTGTCCTTGTAGGGTTATTAGGGACAGGACATATTATTGTACCTTTTAAAAGAAGCTGTTAGTGTGGCATAACGTTGTCTGTTTACAATTTTGGATGCCGTCAAAATAGCCTTTGCTGCCATCAGCATGTATATGCAACCACAGACAGGAAAACTTGCAAAAGCTGAAACTTCTCAGATAAAGAAAACTCAAAAAATTTTTTTCACTGAAACAAGCAATAGAAAAAGTAGTAAGATTCCCCCAAAGCTGGGAAACTTGGGAGACTTGGAAAAGCAAGGCAGTTGAATTCTGGATCTCATTAGTTTCATTGTAAGTATGTGTGTGTGTGGTTATGAGTTGGGGTGCAAACCACACGGTCAGCAGTTCGAAACCACCAGCCGCTCCAAGGGAGAAAGATGAGGCTCTCTACTCCCATCAAGTGTCTCAGTCTCAGAAACACACAGGGGAAGTTTTGCCCTGCCCTATAGGGTCGCTGTGAATCAGAATTGACTCGAAGGCAGTGAATTTTGAGTTTGGTCATATACGTGTGATATATTATATACATCTATATAATTATATTCCATGAATTCTGACCAGCTGTAACTAGAACTATTGAAAACTTAATATTATCTTCTGATATTCTGGTTTATTATTTCTGTATTGCTGAGTGATAAATTGCCCTGAAACGTAGTAGCTTAAAACATTGATTCATTTTGTAGTCTGTCGGTGAGGGGTCTGGGCATAGCTTAGTTGGGTGCCTCTGGCTGAAGGTCTCTCACGGGTTGGGTTTGGTATGTTGGCTCATCTAAAGGCTCAACCAGGGGAGAACCAACTTCCAACTTCACTCATATGGTTGTGGGCAAGCTTAGTTCCCTGATGGCCGGAGACTTGCCTCATCGAACTCTGCGCCATGGGACAGCTCACAACACGGCAGCTCTCCAAGGGCAAATGAGAGGACGAGAGCGCCTCCTACACGGACACCACAGAGTGAACCCGGGATTGACATCCACCAGTTCCATTGTGTTCAGTTCATGAGCAGCAGGCTCAGTGCAGGAGGGGAGAGGGCATGGGCTGAACGGGAGACCTTGTGTGCGCTTGGTTCTGCGTTCTAGTCATTGAATTGATTTTATAAGAAAAGGCCTGAACGTGATTCCTTTAAAAATTCAAACAAAATTTTGGATTGCTCATTGTCAAAGGAAATATTATGAGTTGGTGAATGGAAAACTAATTTGCTGTATAGATTTTCATCCAAATCATGAGAAACAGTTAAAAACATTAAAATGTCTGCCCGGCGTAGCAGTGTTCCTCACCCCTCTGGACCCTGTTCTGTGCATAGAGCGAGGGGAAAGTCTGACTGGAGGGACTGGCGGTAATGCTTCCAACACCAAGACTCACTGTCGTTGAGTCAGTTTTGATTTGTGGCAACCCTACAGGACAGGGTAGAAGTGCCCTCTGTGGGATTCTCAGACTGCAAGTCTTCACAGGAGTAGAAAGCTTCCTCTTTCTCCATTGGAGTGATTGGTGTTTTCAGACGACTACCACTGTGGTTCACAGTCCGACCCAAATTCACTCTGCTACCTGAGCTCCTTTGTTACAAGGAAGGGTCCTCTATTAATGACTGCATTAAAATAGCTTTCCTAAATTATGCTTAGACTTGGCGGGAGATGGATCTTCGGATTACTGATGCATCTAATGAAGCAAAGGATAACGTCAAATATTTGTACACTCTTGAAAAATGCTGTGATCCCTTGTATAGCAGCGATCCTGTGAGTCCAGAACTTCTACTCCTTTGGTCTACCCTTTGCCCTGGATGAATTGAGCGCTTACTTATTGCTGTTGCAATCTGTTTCAAAGTTCTTTAGAAACTTACTTTTTCTTAAAAAAAAGTTGTGTGTGTGTGTGTGCATGTGCAATGAGAGAGAAGATGTATAACACGTGTCATATTAAAAAAACACAGCCAACCATTTGCTGTGTGTATTCTGTTTTCCATTTAGTCTGCAACTATCCCTGTAGACTGTATTCCAAAGACCTGTGCGAAAATCACTGGCTGTTAACCTTTAATCTTTTAGCTTAGACAGTGCCTGCTTATACAGGAGGGGGCTTTGAAAAGTTTGTGAAAAAATGGGATTAAAAGAGAATGGAAATTTTACATGAATGTCTTTAAGCCCCCTCATGTGTTATAAAACTGTTAACAACACAACCCCCCTTGCTAGTAACAACTAGTTACTATTTCTTCTGTTGAAATAAAATTTTAGAACCTTCAATGACTAAGATAATAAAATGAAATACTTATTAAGTAGATTATATTCATGTAAAGTATTAGATAGTATTTAAAAACTTTATTCAAAGGAAATGGTGTAATTGATCTATTGTAATTGTGCTAATATTGATTCCCCCGCCCCCTGGAAACTTTTGATGTCTTCCAGATATCAATGATTGATGCTATTCCTACACTTATAAATGCAATTAAAATGATCTATAGTATCTCTCATTACTATAACACCTCTGAGAAGATAACGTCTCTGTTTGTAAAGGTAAGTGCATAGCATGGCCTATAAGGTCACTGTATTTCTTTGCCAATAGTCATTTTAAAAATAATTATTGTTTACTACACTGGTGCAGTCTGTTGCCTATGTATATGAAAGTTTAACAAGAATTAAATTGAAGTGAGAGATTGCTTCCCCAAGTCATAAGGCCTTGTTGGCCAAGGTAAGATACCTTGGAGCACAGTGGTTAAGGTGCTTGTCCGCTGACTGAAAGGCTGGCAATTTAAACCCAATATCAGCTTGGTGGGAGAACAATGTGGTTGTTTGCTTTTATAGCGTGTTAGGCCAGTTGCCTGGAGAAACAAATTCAGTGACACTCATCTATGTATAAGAAAGAGTTTTCAGTCAAGAAGTAAGTGTATATCAAGAAAGTATCCAAGCCCAGTCCAACTCAGTTAAACAGTTAAAAAAATTAAAATGTCTGCCCGGCGTAGCAGTGTTCCTCACCCCTCTGGACCCTGTTCTGTGCATAGAGCGAGGGGAAAGTCTGACTGGAGGGACTGGCAGTAATGCTTCAAACACCAAGACTCACTGTCATTGAGTCAGATCCTAGTCCATAAAGCCTTCTTCAGGCTCACAAAGCCACAGGCTGGTGACACAGACTGATGAACCAGGAAGCGGGGAGATCACAGGCCAGTGGGTGCAGAGTCTCGTGGATCCACAGTCGGTGGAAACATGGCAGGGTGGTGGCATCTATCAGGGGTGACAGCAGAGTAACAGCAGACAAGAAGGCAAAGTGGCAGAGAGAGGGGAAGGTTCGCAGTTTCCCCTGCTTTTAAGATCACCCGTCCAAGGAGACATCATCGGGCTGTGACTTGATGGACAGGCTAGATTCCACCCTGACCCTTTCACACATCTTTAAGTTGACACAAATCATCTAACTCTATAAAGATCACTAGCCTAGGAGCCCTATGGCACAGTTCTATTCGTTTTTTTTTTTGGTCTGAAAACGTCTTGATTTTTAAATTTTACGATAATGATGTCAGGCAACATTTGTCTATTTGTGACTGACTAAGCCACTCAGCATCATTGTCCTCCAAATCCATTCATGCCGTGAAGCGTTTTACAGTTTCATCATCATTCTTTAGCAATGTGTCCATCGTGTGTGTGTGTGTGTGTGTGTGTGTGTGCACGCTAAAGTTTAGTCATCCATTCTTCCACTGATGGGCCTTTCGGTTGTTTCCATCTGCTTGCTGTGAACAGTGCCATGATGCACACGGGTGTGATGTTGCATATTTCCTGATCAACTTTGGTTTGCCTCCTCCACTAGGCTGAAGGCAACACTCTGCTGGCATGCGTGCTCCTGGGCATAGCCCCAGGGCGCAGCTCTGTGGGTGTTTGGTCAGAGCTGATTGGTCAGTGTGGGAGATCTTGCCTATGTGGGCTGGATCAACCTGGGCTGGATCTTGCCTATGTGGGCTGGATCAACCTGGATTTTGGTCCAACAGTCGAGGGTGAGCTGTATGGGGTGGGGGGTGGGGGTGGGGAGGAACGTAGAAAGAAGAACATCATCCTAGTCGGACACCAGACACACACCTGGAGTTCATTTCACCCACGCTCTTTAGAGTTGAGGCAATTGAGGCCCAGGGAGGGACAGTGGCATGCCCAAGATGGTGTGGCCAGTGCCCTCATCAGTCCGCCTGCTGAGCATGCTCCCAGCTTCTTGCTGTGAAGGCTTTCAGGAGAAGCCAAATCTATGTGCTTCACATTATTTTTGGTCATTTCTTGGAAAGATACAATATGGCCGCTAAGTCCACTGTCAATATTTTTGTGAACTCCCTGGAGAATATGGTGGTGAAGGCTTTTGATAACCGCTTCATTAAGTTTAGCTGGGTTTTTTTTTAATGAACTTAAAAAAAAATCATTTTATTGGGGGCTCGTACAACTCTTATCACAGTCCATACATGCATCTATTGTGTAAAGCACATTTGTATATTTGTTTCCTTCATCATTCTCAAAACATTTGCTCTCCATCCAAGCCCCTGGCATCAGCTCTTCATTTTCCCCCACCCTCCTCCCTGCTCCCCCTCAATGAACCCTTGATAATTTATAAATTATTTTTTTGCCATATCTTAACATGGGACACTTCTATTCTTATCTATAGTGTTGCTATGTGACAGAATCGATTCAATGGCAATGTGTTTTGTGGTTTCATTTTATAATTACTGTAATAAATATTTTTTACTCTATATAATAAAAATGAAAAAAGATTATTTCTGGGTTTTTCATTTCTATACTATTTAGAACATTACTTTTTCCTATTGGGAAATTTTAATTAAGAAAAACTATACTTAACTGGTTGTTTCCTGCATCATATCTTACATGCCACTGCTCCAAATTTATATGATGCCTCAGTGGCTTACTTGGCATTATTAGAACAGTAATCATAGGAATAAAAGCCACTTGCAACGTTCAGTAATCTCTAAAGCAATTATGATGTTTCTGCCAAAAAACCTAACCATGCTTAAACCTTCTGTCCTAACTCGTAAATGTTTATGGTAAGCACTGTTGCCATTCTCATTTTGAAGTCTCTAAGAAGTAAATGACTTTTTCATGACCAAGACACAAATTTTAAATGTTGTGTTAAAATGGACACATTTCCATCTTGTTGGGACCTTGTGCAGCATGGAATACAGATGCAGTAGCAGGCACCACCCTTATGGAACTCTCAATTTTTCGTTTTTTAAAATACTTGATTTGCTGTTGTTGAGAAGAGACACAACAAACACACATACCAAGCCAAGTTTCTGTGATACAGTTCACGACCTTGAGTGCATTCTACGAGTTGTGCAGTCATCCTCATTTTCTTTTCATGCCTCTGCCTTTCTCATGAGCATAAACCCAGTTCCCCCTGAGGTCCCTGCCTAATCTTTTTTAAAATTTAATCATGTTATTAGGGGCTCATACAACTCTTATCACAATCCAGACATACATCAATTGTGTAAAGCGCATTTGTACATTCATTGCCCTCATCATTCTCAAAACATTTCCTCTCCACTTAAGCCCCTGGCATTAGGTCCTCATTTTCCCCCTCCCTCCCCGCACCCCCCTCCCTCATGAGCCCTTGATAATTTATAAATTATTATTTTGTCATATCTTGCCCTGTCCGACATCTCCCTTCACCCACTTTTATGTTGTCCGTCCCCCAGGGAGGAGGTCACATATACTTCCTTGTAATCGGTTCCCTCTTTCCAACCCAACCTTTCAAGTAGCTTTTGTCCTTTGGATCCTGTATAGATCATCAAAGAGAAGAATGCTCAAGTTCTGAGCATAAAGCTCTGTAGTTAAGTTACACTACTATTTGATTTTAAGAAAACTTCAGGGACTCTTTTTGGTTTAAGGTTTAAAGATGACCTCAGCTAATAGTATTGGGGTTGTTCATCTGGCTTCAATGCCTCAACGTCTGGATTCCATGAGAACTTGGAAATCTGTTCTACATCTCCCCCACTGTGATCAGAATTTTTTCATCAAGACGGAGCACTCAGTCTTGAGAGTTGGAGTAATATAGGTCATAGTTTAAGTTGAAAGAAAGGCAACTTGTAACTTGGAACATACTTCCTTTTATACATTATAGTTAACTTTACGTTTCATGTGTTTAAAAAGTTTTTTTTTTGGAGCAAAATTATGAAACCACCATCCTCTAAATTTTAAAAACTTTTTCTTTGGGTGAAATAATATTTGAAACAGGCATAAAAGGAGAGGAGATTATATATTGAGCTCCCATGTACATACCCCCACAACTCAACTATCAACATGCCACTAATCTTGTTTCACTTGACCCCCTTCCATCTCTACTGAAATCCCAGACATTGTTGTTTCGTGCACAACTTAGATAGGTGGAGAGCAGGTGAGTCCACGGTGACTGGTGCTGACCGGATGGACACCAGAATGAAAGCTGGACAGGTGCTGTGCCGTCCCCCATGGCGGGCATGTTTGAGCTCACTCTGTCTCCTGTGCATCTCACTGTGGGTTCCCTTTGCTCTGGCTGTCTTTCTGCTTCTCCAAACCCAAAGTCTGCCTGGTGCTTCCCCCTCCTGCTCTGATGAAATGTTCAGAGGAAGTGGTCAGGGAGTGCTCTGTTGTGATCTCTAAGGCTTTCAATGGCTACTTTTCAGAAGTAGATCATCAGTCCTTTTCCTAGTCTGTCTTTTCCCTTAGTCCAGAAGCTCTGCTAATACCTGCCCACCCTGGGTGACCCTGCTGGTGTTTGAAATGCCCGCGGAATAGTTCCCAGGCTCACAAAAACCTGCAAGCCACGTCAACATGACACATCAACATACAAGCGGTGCCTGCAAAAGTTAAATGATCCAAATGCTACTTTTAACATATAGAAATAAATTACCAGGACAATTCCGAAGTGTACTGTGTTCTAAAGCTTGAAGGGATGAATAAAATGTCAATGGTTTCATCTGTTAGCTTTTCTCTTTTCCTGTCGTTTCCTTTTGGTATGTTTGCTACAGCCTACGGTAGCATGAGAGGGTGAGGCTGGATTGGATGCAATGGTATGTAGCACTCCTAAACTGTCAGCTGCATGCTTAAGCAGGCTCTCTCAGGAGATTGGTGGTGCTCACATCAGCTTTGTGGTTAGGGGAGTGAATCCTCTCTGAAGTGGTTAAGGCATTCACCCTGCGTAAATGTGGGGGGCTTTTTGTTAATTTTCCACAGTGCATTCAGCTCATGGCTCCACAGATGATATTGCCAATATCAAGCAATTAGTGGTTGGTGTTAGCTGAGATGGGAAAAATAAGCCCAAAGCTTGAGCTCTCAGATTGTGGCCTGTGGGAGACAGAAGAGATATGGAGTCTCTACTCCCATGTAGAGTCTTGTGTACTTAACACCATTTTATTGAAAATCCCAGGTGACTAATCAGATGATATCTGCATGCAAAGCCTATATTACCAACAATGGAACTGCTTCCATCTGGAGCCAGCCGCAGGAAGTTGTTGTGGAAAAAATATCATCCGCCATTAAGCTTAAGCAGGTAATCATCAGTTTAGTAATCCATTGAAATGACATTTTATTATTCCTGTATGTTGTTTTGGTAGGTGCCACCTCCCATCATTTAGCAGTTATCATGTTGTTGGTTCCTAACAAGAGCAGTAATTTGTTACTGCTAACCCTGGTAGTGATGTGATCACCCACTGGGGCACTAACCACAAGGTGTGCAGTTCGAACCCATCAATGACTCCACAGGAGAAAGAGGAGGGTTTCTAATCCCAGAAAGAGTGGAAGTCTTGGAAGTGCACTAGGGCAAATCTACCCGGTCCGGTAGGGGTGCTGTGAGTCAGAAATGACTTGATGGCCCTGAATTTCTTGAGTAAGCAAATTGATAAAAATAGACATTTTAGGACTCATTCTATCCTCTTTGAGGGACTACTATGGCATGGCCCATGCTAAGGGCTGAGATACAAAAAATAGTACTAAGACGTGGTTGCTTTTCTTAAGTCTCTCATAGACAAATGGGAGACAGATATAAAACAACTGGTGCTGTCGAGCCAGTTCGGATTCATAGCTCCTCTGTGTACAACAGAACAGAACGCTGCCCGGTCCTGCCTTATCCTCACAATTCCTCTTATGTTTGACTCCATCGTTGCAGCCACTGTGTCCACCCACCTTGGCCAGGTGGTGTTTCGCCGATCCTCCACTTTACCAAGCATGAAGCCTTTTTCCAGGGACTGGTGTCTCCTGATAACATGTCCAACACGTGCTAGACGAAGTTTTGCCACCCTTGCTTCTAAGGGCATTCTTGCTGTACTTCTTCCAAGACAGATTTGTTTGTTCCATTGGAAGTCCATGGTACTTTCAATATTCTTTGGCAGTACCATCATTCAAAGGCATTAGTTCTTCTTTGGTTTTCCTTATTCTTCGTTCAACATGCATAGGAGGCCATTGAAAATACCCTGGGTTTGGTCAGGGCACTTTAACTGCAGCACAATTCCTGTTGGTGGTTAGCTGCCCCAGGAAGCTCTTGATTTCTGGAGACTCCATCCATGTACAAAGAGTTTTGACTGTTTTGATTCATAGCATTTTCACTTGCTGATTTTGGGGAAGTAAATTGCCAGATCTCTCTTTCTAGTCTGGAAGCTCTGCTGAAATCTGCTCAGCTTCACAGCAATAGGCAAGCTTTCAATGACAGATGAGTGTTGGTTGAGGTGCATTGGGCAGAGTTGAACCTGGGTTTTTAGTATGGAAGATGGATTCTGTCAAGGAACCATCATGGTCTCTACGGCACAATAGAATCAGGTTATTAAAATGATGGGACCAAACATGGAATGACTGAACCACGAGGATGTTGCTAGATTGGAGGGTGAGGAAAGAATATTCTAGACTGGTGGATGAGGAACTGCGAGATGTAAAACTGTGGAAGGTCTCCCGAGTCCACCTGTCTTTTGCTGTTGCCTGCCATGAAACGATCAGGTTCTTTGTTAAGTCTCTTTCTTACACGTTGCTTTCCATTTTCAGGAATACCAGCACTGCTTTCACAAGACCAAAGAGAAGCTCAAACAAAATCCAAATGAAAAACAATTTGAATTCAGTGAGATGTACATTTTTGGAAAATTTGAAACATTCCACAGACGCCTGGCTAAGATCACAGATATCTTTTCCATCTTCAAGACATACGCAGTCCTCCAGGAATCTAAAATTGAAGGGCTGGAAGGAGTGATTATGACATTCCAGGTATTGTCTCTAAACATCAGGCTTAATCTAATCACCTTTAGGGACAAGCATTTTCATTAGTAGTGCAAGAAAATTGCTCAAGTATAACTTATTATTTAACTATTCATAAAAAGTATTTAATGAAGCATATATGATGTGTCAGACAGTCACTGATTCCCAAGTTCGGGACAACACCTGTTTATCTAGTATTTAAGCATTTTATTTGAATGTATAAAAAATACCAGATGTAATCATAGCCCTAAAGTCCTGAATCTTTTGATTCCCAGGTACTTTAATTGTGAGGTCATCAGTGTGACCGATCTGAGGTTTTCAAAAGGGGCTCAGCGTGCTAATAACACTTTGAAGACTTTAAAAAAGCAGTTTGCAAGCAAAATGTGTTTTTAATTCTTCACTTGGATATAGTTAAGTGTTAATAGTTTTGAAGGTTCTCTGGTAGAGTAGTGGTTACATATTGGGCTGGGATCCAGAAGGTCAGTAGTTCGAAACCACCAAACACTCCTCAGGAGAAGACGGGCTTTCTCTTCCCGGAAGAGTTACAGTCTCAGAAACTCACAGGAGCGGTTCTCTCCTGTCTTATAGGGCCCCTCGGAGTTAGCCTTCACCCTAGAGTAGTGAGCTCTTTTTTCATGTGTTTGGTACTTTTGATATTTTACTCAAAGAGTCTATGACAATATAAAGCATCTTTTGCATTTTCTTAGTAGACACCAGTGTGGGGGAAGAGATCATCTTTTTACAGCCAGATATATTTTAGGTTAGCCATCTGCAACTGGGCAGGTGGATAACCTATACTTTGAAAAAACACTTTAAAAATTATGATTAATTGGGATTTAATACATATATCACTCCATAGCTCAGTCATGCCAAGTAGAATTGTGCAGTTGCCATCACAATCCCTCTGCAGACACTGTTTTTCTACATGGGCTTCTTGACATCATCTCCCTTTTACCTGGACCCCCGCCCAACTACTGCAAACCCCTCCCCCTGAAACCCATTTTCTACTTGCTTTGCCTGTAAAACCATTAATGCTGGGTCTCAGACTGAAAAATGGAAAAGCATATACCACAACTTCAATAGTTTTTTGAAGAAATGAAGGGATGTATCTTTTCTGTTTGTTTTCACTTGGGAATCTCAGAATCCATTTTCTCTACTTCCTACTATTATGAAAAAGATTCCTTTGGTGCCTACATGAACATTTATTTTTGAATGAAGTTAAACTGGATTACGTGTTGGGCTGCTAACCACAGGTTAGCCTTTCTATTCTGGTAAAAGTATGCAGTCAGAAGCCCAGAGGGGCAATTCTCCATGTCTTACAGGGCCGCTATGAGTCAGAATTGCCTCGATGGCCCTGAGTTTGAGGTCTCCGTTTAAGTAACCATTTAAAGCACGTTTTCCCCCGACCTCTTCCTCACCCCAGTCACTCTCCGCCACATTATCCCAAATCCCACAAGGTTGTGGTTTGGTGCTTTTGAGTTGGTTCCAACCCTGGAGACCCTATTCACAACAGGATGGAACACTGTCCCGCCCTGCACCATCCTCACAATTGTTCCCATGCTCAGCCCATTGTTGCAGACACTGTATCTATCTCATTGAGCGCCTTCCTTCTCTTCACTGCCCCTCTACTTCACCAAGCATGATGCTCTTCTCTGCGGGCTGGTGTCTCCTGACAATGTATGTGAGATGAAGTCTCACCATCCTTGCCTGTAAGGAACACTCAGGTTGTACTTATCCCCTAGAAACATGTTTGTCCTTTTAGCAGTATGTGGTACTTGAAATGTCTTCAATGGTACCACAATCCCATATTATGTTACCTTAAGTAATCCTAGTCATTTATTTGTGATTCAATTATATTCTAACCTTCCCACCTCTCTGGATGTAAGGGACATTTATTCCATTCACTCTTGCATCTTCATAACTCCCTGGCACATAATAGGTATACACACATATCTGTCTAGTAAATGATTGGATAGATTGAGTTTGATTAGTTGTTTCAAAGGTTCACATTAATCATTCCATTTATTGAACTTAATACTATTACATGGCCATTAAAAGCAGTCATAGAGCAGGGCTTTGTAAGATCCTCCAACGTTTAAAAACCACACTGTTAAAAATGTAGTCATGTCGCCTTTTCCTAAGTCTTTAATATATTTTATACCACATGCACTTCAAATCAAACCGAACCCCATTGCTGTCGAATCTGTTCTGATTCATAGTGACCCTGGGGTCATGATAAGACGGGGTGATGGGAAAGAAAATCGATGTTGTTGGCCAAGAATTTTGAAAGTAACAGCACAAATCTGTCTTGGACCAAGTCCAGTCAGAAAGCTCCGTTGAGGCAAGGAAGGCGAGACTTCATCTTACATACTTTTGTCGTGTTCTCAGCAGAGACCAGTCCTTGGTAAAGCACAGGGGCAGTAACACAGAGCGAGGCCCTCAGTGAGATGATTTGGCACAATGGCTGCCATGCCGGCTCAGGTTTATGAACAATTGTGAGAGGTGGTGTTTGTTCTGTTGGACATAGGGTGGCTCCGAGTTGGAACTGACTCTATGGCACCCAACAACAACAACAACAACAACAACAACAACAACAACAACAACATCAACAGACAGCTTAGGAGCTCTGGTGGTGCTGTTGGGTACACGTTGGATTGCTCTCAAGGTTGGTGGTTCCAACTCACTAGCTGCTCTGTGGGAGAAAGTTGAAGCTATCTACTCCTGTTAAGATGCTCAGCCTTGGGTCCCTAGGGAGTGAGAATTGACCTGGTGACAGTAGACTGTGGTAGGAGAGGGTAGAATTGCCCTTTAGGATTTCCAAGGTTGTAAATCTTTACGGTTGGCATCTGCCACACTTTGCTCCCATGGAGCAGCTGGTGAGTTCCAACCATTGACTCCTCATTAAGCAGCTGAGCATTTACCCATGGTGCCAGCAGAGCTTCATTGTGATCAACGTACAGCCTCTAAATAGATGGATTGTATAGTTATGCAGCATGAAAAGTGTAGCTTGTTTTCCCCAGTCATATCGAGTCAAGGAGTTATGAAGTTTATATACTTTTTCTTCCTCTTGAGAGATTGAAATTGATATGTAGGCGGTGTAGCTCCGAAGAGGAGACTGAGGATGGACACCCACTATTCTTCATAAAAATTATATGCCTTTGTCAACAACGTGGGCACCTGAGTTTGAGAATGGCTTAGTACCTGGCTAAGAATGATCACAGAGCGTTCTAACTCATTATTCGGAGCAAACAAAAGTTCTGATGATAGTATTTTCAAGGAGATGAATTGCCTAATTTGTCCTTTTGTAGCTGCAGACTGCAGCTTTGCAAGGCAGTAAGAAGCAATTAATTGCAGGGATTCTTTAAGTGCTACAATGTGGTTTGCCATTTTATTTTAGACATTTGAGGCTTGGAAGAGAATATTTCACTTGTAGCTATTAAAATATCGCCATTTCCCGTCTAAGTGGTTTGTATTCTATTTAAGCTAAGTTTATTTTCTGTAGAGATTTAAACTCTTTAATGTAATAAGTATTTTAGCCAGTGCTATTCTGGGCTTCTTTTTATTCTTATTTTTATTGGTGATGAACGGTACATTTGTCAAGAAAATGATAAAATTAAATAACATCTGAAAAGCATTTTTAAGATGGGATTTTTATTTTAAAATTTTCTCTCCAAGCACATGAAATCCTATAAACACTCTTTCCAAATGATTTCTTTGGATGCCATAGAATGACGTTATATCACTGGTAAAAAGTACTGAGCAATATGATTAAATGGATAGGGTTTCTTAACATTTTTTTTTTCTGGAATGACTGCATAGGTTGTGCAGTTACGGATTTTATTTAGTTGGGGCTAGAATGTCGGAGCTCTGGTGGTCCAGTGGTTAAAGTGCTCAGCTGCTAACTGGAAGGTCCAAGTTTTGAACCCACTAGGTGCTCTGCCAGAAAACACAATGTGGCAATTGGCTTCCGTTTATGGCCCTGGAAACTCTATGGGGCAGTTCTACTCCGTCCTATATAGGGTCTTTATGAGTTGAAATTGATTTGGCCACAATGGGATTTTGTTTAAGGCAATCATATTGAAATGTCTTATTTCTCTCATATTTCAGGGCATTGTTGCCACTATGAAGAAAAAGGAATATAATTTCTTAGACCAGCGGAAAATGGAATTTGACCAGGATTATGAAGAGTTTCGCAAGCAGACTCATGACCTTCACGTAGGTTGTATAATAAGTTCCTGTTGACAGTCGTGTGTTTATTTTCCCCTTCTACTGTATATGAGGCTGTGAATGATTAGGTATTCAGAATGGAGAAGTGTCTTCATCATTGGAGTGACTGATCCCAACCTCGGCCTGTGTTTGTGATTTCATATTAATAATTGAGGGCTCTTTTTCATGGATTAAAGGGCTATAAATATAGCTTTAGATAATGATCTCTAATCACATTCTTGCACATGTCTTCCAGCTCAGGTCGTGGAAAGTTAGCTTTCGTCTTCTATAGAAATGTAACGTGATCAGAATGTAGGACTTGGCTTGCATTTACTTGTGACTCAATCCTGATAATGACCAGGGGTCTTTTGGGCAAAGGGGAGACTTGAGTTGAGGTTCAGCCCAAGTAGGGGAAACCTTCAAAGAGAAGGATTGACCCAACAGCACAACAGTGGGCCCAGACATAGCAACCATCGCAAATGTGGCAGAGCAGCCTGTCCTGTGGTACCTAAGGTCGTCACGAGACACGGGCAGCAACAGCATGAGGTAACAGTGTCTGCAGCAGGCCCATGCACAACGGTAGCAGGACTCATCTTGGGATTTGTAGCTCTTTCTCTTACTGCCAATGAGCTATCCCGAATCCCAGCTCACATGTGGCCACCATCAGCTTCTGAAAACTTAGGACAGGAGCATCCAGGCAGGCTTCCCATCCCCAGCTCCAGATTCCTAGGAAAGGGGTTGGTTGGGCCAGTTCCAGACCTGGATAGTCTGTTTTCCCCACCCGCCTCCCCATTATGAGTGCACTTTAGTATTCCATTTTTTTCTTCCTTGTCTCTGATATTCTTTGGGTGAATTTTCACATCTAAACATTTTTTTCCTTGTCCAGATTTTGATGTGATTTCTTCAAGGAGAAACTTAAAAAAAAAGAAGAAGAAGCAATAATAGGAAATTCTGAGCTATCGTCATTGGAAATGTTTGGGGCTTTCAGCACTGCTAACAGATGTGTGTCAGGCCTTCTTTTTCCACTTTCAACATCTGTTAATGCCTTTTGGTGTTTCCCAGTCCCCTCCTTCTTTCTTTGTTACCTTCTAGATGATTCCCCCCAGCCCCCCGTAGATTTCTCTTTAGTTCCTTCATCTTCAGGGATTGGATTGGATTTTGAATTGTAATGACACTTTTCCTTTACATTTAGGAGTTCTATTTAGAAAATATCACTCCTCATTTTACACAGTGATTCTCGTTGGCTAGTTTCTATTTGTACTTTATTCTTTAATATTAAAAAACTACACAAGAAACCTTTTAAGGTTTTTCCATCAGCTTCGGTACTTGCGGTACTAATTTTTCTACGGCATCTATAGCCTCTTCCATAGGATTTGCAAAAGAATTTTAACTTATCCTTTTTAGGGTTTTTTATTATTATTTTCTGTTGGCGTCTTTGTTGTCTGAGGAAGTTACTTTTGGTGAGGTGCTGAAGATTTTGTCATCCATATTAATTTTTATCTTAACTTCTTGGATTAGATCCATAAACTCATTTAATAATATAAAATCCCATCTCTTAGCTGAGTGTATACCATTATCTGCCAATAGAGCAAATAAATCTGTTTGGGAAGAAGTACAGCCAAAATGTTTCTTAGAAGCAAGGGTGGTGAGACTTCATGTTGTGTACTTTGGACAATTTATCAGGACTGGTCCCTGGAAAAGGACATCATGCTTGGTAAGGTATAATGTTAACAAAAAAAAAAGAAAAAGAAGATCCTCATCAAGATATATTGCTGTTGTGACTGCATTAATGGGTTCAAACATAACAACAATTATGGAGTGATATAGGAAGACTGGGCAGTGTTTGTTCTGTTGTACACAGGGATGCTATAAGTCAGAACTGACATATGGTATGCTAGTTAGCTAGCTACCCGAGGTCCAAATCTGACCTCCATGACCAAATCTAGCCTTATTTATTTGTTTATCTATTGTGTATGTTTGCTTTTGCATTATAATGGAAGAGTTGAGCAGTTGTGAAAGGGACCTATATTTCACAAAGCCACATTATTTTTATCTGCCCCTTTGGAGGAAAGGTGTATGGTGGTCCTTGCTCTTTCCCCTGGATCTGGGTGGGGCTAGCCTCCTCAAAGCCTTTCTCCACTATGTGTAGTCAGTTCATCCCTTTTGCTTGAGTTGGGTAGCACTTCTGGCTTTCTGTAGGGAAGGCTTACTGTAATGAGCCGAGTCAGACCCCATAGCTCCTCACCCACATTGGTGAGAAAGTGCTAGTGCCCAATTTCATCTTGATGGATACCCACAGAGCCTCTCCTGGTGCCAATTCCCACTCCTTCACTGACTTTCCAGACCCCCTTTCTGGCCTATGGGCTCCTAGTTTTCTTTCAAGCACAGGTGTGTTTTAAGTGGTAAGTTATAATGTGTCCTATATGTTTGTAGAGAATGGGGAGCTCCTTGATTGTATTGCTAATTAGAACTTTCCCAATACTAATTCATTGCTACTAATCAGATTTTATTCTGTTTTAGAACGAGTTGCAGAAGTTCATGGACGCTGCATTTGAAAGGATTCAAAACACAAACCAAGCACTAAGTATGCTCAAGAAATTTGAAAGGTAAACATTTGAAACAATTTCTTGAGCTCTGGTTTATAATATTGGAATAAGATGACCATGGCGCATTTTATGTGATTTTGTTTTTATTTCATATTCTAATGAGAGGAAAGCCTGCTTTTGACCGTCAGGACAACAAGGTCACTGTTGATACGTTCATCAGAGATTGGGGGTTTGATTTACTTCTGCAAATGGAGAAAACTGTTCCTTTAAAGAGATTTGTGATTGATATTGTAATATTTCCTAGTGGTTAAGTAATTAAAACTGTTAAGTAATTAACAGTTTTAAGGATATCTATAGATATATGTATATTTAGTACTGCAGAGATTCAGAAGTAGCATATGTTTTACCATAAATTGTACTGAACAAAATTGCTAGACACCTTCTCATGAAAGCTTTTTACTTAAAAAAAAAATCAGATTGAATATACCTAATCTTGGTATTGATGACAAATACCGGCTGATCCTTGAGAACTATGGAGCGGACATCGACATGATTTCCAAGCTTTATACAAAGCACAAATATGACCCTCCTTTGGCTCGAGACCAACCTCCCATCGCAGGGAAGATTTTGTGGGCTCGCCAGCTCTTCCACAGAATCCAGCAACCCATGCAACTTTTCCAGCAGCACCCAACCGTGCTCCGGACCCCTGAGGCCAAACCTATCATTCGCAGTTATAACAGGATGGCCAAGGTTCTCCTGGAGTTTGAGGTTCTCTACCATCGGGCATGGCTTCAACAAGTGAGTGCTCACTGCTTTGCTCTTCAAAGAGATATCCATTACTTCCACTAGCATTCGACAATGTTATTCCCTGTAGAAAACTGGGTTTCGGGTGTCTTTTAAGACAGGCTTTGAAGGCTAGGGGGAGGTTGAGGGAAGGGAGGAGGTGAGGGAGAGAGTTAAAAAACCCAACAACATAGGACGGCATGCACAGAGGTGGGTGGGTGGGTGGTGGAGTTTCTGGGATACTGTGGGTGTTTGTGCTAATCCACAGTAAAAAATTAAAAGAGGAAGACGTGCTTTGCTGGATGTGGACCACCAATCAAAGACTCTAATACATTCATGAAGAAACTTGTTAATTTTGAACAAAAATGTAAACTGCATAACAGGGCCTCATTTTTAATTTAGTTCGTAAATTCCTAACAAAAGTTTGTGAGCTCACTTTCTTGATGGATTAGGATTCTTCACTTACCTCCTTCCTGTCTTCCCCTTCCTCTGTGCACCCCGGGATCCTGCGTGTGTCAGTGAGCATCAGTGTGCCTAGGAGTCTGACACTGCCTTGGGCTGATGGTGAATCAGGCTGTATTATACTTCCTACTCCCCAAGACTTGTATTTCCTTGTAGACTGGCAGGAGGCAATTTGGAGAGGAAAGATTTAGCCTTACAAGCCCGCTAAAATGGTATTTCATTTTTCTTGCTCAGTCGTCAGTGTTTGCGCCAGTAATCGTGCTATCTACACTGTGGTAGTCATTTCTTTTCTAGCTAACAGAAAACTGAGTTTTATGAAAATTTCAAGAGCAAAAATTGGCGTAGGTTTGGGAACAGCATGGTATTAGGTGGTTTTTGAAGTGTCCACGTATTTGTCAGGTGTCAGAGAAAAGTATGGCCCCACATTGCACAAGAACTCGACGATTAAAAAAACAAAGTAGAACTTAACAGAAGAGTGAGTCCCATTGTCTTGAATTTGGGAAGTTCAGCTCCGTGGAAGAGTATTTTAAAATCTTCACTCCCAGAAAAAGCTGCAGTAGGTAGTATTACCATAACACCTAATAACCTCTCTAAGGAGAATTAACACCAGACTTGTCCCCAGGGGCTCCAAAGGTCCAACTCCTTGGCACTACTCTGGTATCAATTCTCCTAAGAGAGATTATCACCACAATTGGTGTCAGAAGTACGATGTGTCTATTTCAGTCCCAGACATTTGAAGCCCAGAATTATTATATATCATATAAGGGATATGGCTGGAAGGGCCATGTTAATTAACTATAACCCAGGCCACTCCCCAATTCTTCTAGTCATTAACCCATTCATCCTGGAATGAGAGAAAATTATTTGCTCTAAGTCTCTCTCGGTATAACCAGCATCATGTTAGATTTTCCATGCTGCATAACTCACTTATTCATTCCTTTACTGTCAGCTATTATTTCTCCTGCCTTCCATTTGTTATTTATTTTCACCCAAACTTTTCCACATTGGCACTTGACCTCGGGTTCAGCGCCTGTGCCAGTCCAGATCGCAGTTAGCAAAACCAGTCTGGCAATTGCTGCTTCATTCCCTTCTCACTCGTGGTGGGTGGGGTTGCATAGGTACAAGATTCGTGGGCTGTCAGAACCACTGGGCAGAGTGACACTTTTCAGAGGCAACCCTCCATTTTTCCAGATGAGTCACATACAGGTTCTAATCACAGTCTCTTGCTGTGGGATCACCCTTGCTTCTGATCCTTGAAGCTGCTGGCCTGGTCCAGAAACCACAGCATCTTGCAGATCAGAAGCAACTTCAGGTGACCTGGGGAAGAACTGTACAGTGGCACGAGAACCCCACCCCCCTCTTCCACCAGATCCTTCTGAGAAAGGTGTGAATCTATCTGGTGGTGACCCTCTTCCCCACATCCACCTGAGAAAGGTGTGAATCTATCTGGTGGTGACTCACGTGACCAGTAGAGGATTAAATCCCAGCAAAAATCCAGGGCCCTGTCTAAATGGTGACATTCTCGGGAATCACTTGAGCCGTTGTGATGTTCTACAGGCATATGAAGTCCAGAATCATATGCTATCATATCAGGGGTTATGGCTGGATGGGCATTGTGTTAATTGACTATCCCTCAGGAATACCACACGTACTTGGGACTTTCTCACATTAATAATGTTAGCTTCTTTTCACAGATTGAAGAAATTCATGTTGGACTTGAGGCCTCCTTATTGGTGAAGGCCCCAGGAACGGGAGATGTGTTTGTGAACTTCGACCCCCAGATATTGACTTTATTCCGAGAGACCGAGCGCATGGCCCAGATGGGTCTGGAAGTCTCACCCTACGCGGCTGCTCTCTTCCAGAAACGGGACAAATACAAAAGGCACTTCAGTGACATGAAGGTAGGGGACGTTTTGCTCATATTGGTTAGCTCCAGAAAGAACTTAAATATTTTTTAACATTGGAAGAGTTCTATAGACACAGGAAAATGGTAACATTTTGAAGCATTTGCTTTATCGCCTCTCTCTCTTTTCCACATAATTATTATTTTTATAAAGATCATTGAGAATAAATTGTAGACCCAATGCTCTTTCATGCCTAAATACTTCAGTGCACATGCTTACAAAACAAATCCATTCTCTAATACCACGATGTAGTTATTAATATCAGGAAATTGACATTGATACACTATCATTATTTAACCTATTGGCTGCATTCAAAACTTACCATTTCTCCACTAATCTGTTTTAAAGCAACAAAAATACAATATGTATGTTTTAGGCACAATACATTTAGAGCAAAAAAACCATGGCAAATTCCAATGTTGATATAATAGTTTTTACTTAATATTGTCTTCACATACTTTGTTCATTAACTCCTACATTATGTGTATATAGCATTAGTCTATATAATTGGGGTCAACAGTGATTTGTATTAAGTATGTTCCTACTCTCATAAAATTTATATTCTAGTAATAAGTAAAAAAGGAACACATAAACAAAAATGGATAAGTTAATCTTTTACCATGAGTTATGGAGAAAGGCTGGGCAAGAATGTAGAAAAGGAACTTTAGACTGGGTAAGCAGTTCTCTATGAAAAGGGGTATTTGGATCTAGCTTGGAAGCAACAAAGCCCACATGGAAGAAGCACATCAGCCTGCGTAATCATGAGGTGTCAAAGGGATCAGGTATAAGGCATCAAAGAACAAAATATCATACCATTGTGAATGAGGGAGAGTGTGGAGTGGGGACCCAAAGCCCATCTGTAGGCAACTAGACATCCCCTTACCAAACGGTAGCTTGGAGGAGATGTGCCAGCCAGGGTGCAGTGTAGCAACAATGAAACATACAACTTTCCTCTAGTTCCTAAAGCTTCCTCCCCAGCACCCCCCCCTAACTATAATGATCCCAATTCTACCTTACAAATCCGGCTAGACCAGAGGATGTACACTGGTACAGATAGGAACTGAACTCACAGGGAATCCAGGGCAGATGATCTCTTCAGGACCAGTGGTGAGAGTGGCGATACCGGGAGGGTGGAGAGATAGAGAGGGAGAACCGATTACAAGGCTCTAACATATAACCTCCTCCCTGGGGGACAGACAACAGAAAAGTGGGTGAAGGTGGACGTCGGACAGTGTAAGATATGACAAAATAATAATTTATAAATTATCAAGGCTCATGAGGAAGGGGGGAGCGGGGAAGAAGGGGTAAAAATGAGGAGCTGATGCCAGGGGCTTAGATGGAGAGCAAATGTTTTGAGAATGATGAGGGCAATGCATGCACAAATGTGCTTTACACAATTGAGGTATGTATGGATTGTGATAAGAGTTGTATGAGCCCCCAATAAAATGATTAAATAAAAAAGAAAAGGGGTATTTGGGCTGAGACTTGAATAGACCAAAGGACTTGATCTGGTGGAAATTGTGACTGATCAATCCAGGCAGAAGGGACAGTGGTGCTAGGCTGGGTTGTCTAGAGAAACAAATCTGATGACACTCATACATCCATTAGAGTTTTACACCAAGAAATCCTTGTCTATCATGAAGGCATCCCAGTCCAGTCCAACTCAAGTCCATAAGTCCAAGGCTAGCCAGGACCTTCTTCTGACTCATGTAGCTGCAGGCTCTTGACACAGAAAGGTAAACAGGAAGGAGGAAGATTGCAGGCTAGTGTATGCAGAGTTGCATGGATCCAAATCGGTGGAAGCATGACAGCTCTCACGTCGGTGGCAGAGCCAGGAGGAAGGTGACGGCACTGCTGGAGTCCCTCACGTGCATACAAACGGCCACAACCCAAAGGAGGTGCCACCAAGCTACCACTTGATGGACAGGTTTGATTCCTCCCCTAGCCACGAGTGTCTGCAGTTAGGCACCATCCAGTTGGTTCTGCCCCTGAGTGCCCTTATGAACAACAGAAGGACACCCTACCTGGTCCTGCGCTGTCCTCATGATTCATCTTATGCTGGAGCCCATTGTTGCACCCACAGTGTCCATCGGCCTTCTTGAGGGGTTTACTCTTCTTAGCTGTCCCTCTACTTTATCCAACGTGATGTGCTCCAGGGACTAACCTCGCCTGACAACATGACCAATGTATCTAAGACGAAATCTCGCCATCCCCTCTAAGGAGCATTCTGGCTGTACTTCTTCCAAGAGAGATTGATTTGCCCTTTTAGCAATCCAAGGTACTTTCAATATTATTCTCCAGCACCACAATTCAAATGCATTGACGATTGTCTAGTTGACATAGAGTCATCCAGCTACCACAGACAGTAACTAGAAAGTGTCCAAGCAAGGACTTTGTGTGCCATGTTCAGTGGACAGAAAATGCCCAGGATGTCTAGAGGGGCGTGCGTGAGGGGAAGGCGCCATGGAAACAAGGCTGTGGGATTGGCCCAAACAAGGTCATGACCCAACCTGTTATGTTTAGAAGTTAGGGTTTTAGTTGGAGTGCACTGTGTAGCTGTTGAAAAACTGTGAGGAGAGGGAAAAGACATGCTATCTTTTACCTCATGAATCATGTTAGTTGCTGGTTGGAGAATGAGTTCTAAGGGAATGAGAGTATTAGTGGGTAGACAGTCTCTATACTATTTATAGTGTAGGCCAGTATTTCCCAAAGTGGGTGATTTCACCCCCCTGGGGCCACTGGAATCATCCTGGCAGGCTGCAAAAGCAGATGCCTACACTTTATCCTGGATTACTAACTAGAGTACAAAAGGCTTTAATTTTCATAGGGGTACTGAGTGCTATTTTTTTCTGAAAAGGGGGACAGTAGGCAGGAGCCCTGGTGGTGTAGTGGGTTATATATTGGGCTGCTTAATCACAAGATCAGCTGTTCCAAATCTCCAGCCACTCCATAGGAGAAAGATGAGGCTTTCTATTCCAATAAGGATCTATGGTTTCAGAAAACCCACAGGGGCATTTCTCCTTTGACCTATGGATTGCTATGAGTTGATCACAGAGAGTTTTTTCAGAGGCCAGATAAGTTTGGGAATCTATGATATAGGCTTTGGGATAAAGCAGATGGTGGCTTGGATTCGAAAGGAAGTAAGGCATATCAGAAAATTAGAGTTATGCCAACAGGCAAGTCATGAGAGAACTCAAGGACAATCTCTGTGTGTGAGTCTGAATGACTCAAGGATTGAGGTACTGCTGCCAAGGAATGCGGTATAAGCTGTATTCTGTGCACCGTGTGCAATAATTTGCAATGGCCCTGAGCAGAAGTCACATTTATGGAGATGACAAAGACTGGAACAAGTATATTTTAGGCTCCAGCAGTGAATTTGTAGTTTTTATCTTAAATATAAGATGATTTTTGGACAGCCAAAGGGAGATGGCCTTCAGGCAGCTGGATATGTAATTCTGAGTTTGGTGAGAAGTCAGAGCTGGAGGCATAAGTTTGGGAGCTATCAGAATGCAGTTGCTGTTAAAAACCATTGGCCTAGATGAGCTCTCCTAGGTAAAGAAGGATACAGATGGAAAAGAGTAAAGAGCCTGGGTGCAAACCTTCAACCGCACAAAACCTAATTCACTGCTGTTGAGTCGATGGAAACTCAAAGCAGCCCTGTCATAAACCTTAGGTTGCTTCAATATTAGTAAGTCTGATCGAAGAGGACAACTAGATAAAAGAAACTAGGGATTGAGTCTTGAAGTCGGAGGAGACCAAGTGTCCGGAAGCTCAGGATAGAAGAGCTTCATGAAAGAAGGTCTGGTTCCCTGTGACACATGTCTCCCAGCGTATGAGCAAGATGGGACCAGAGTTTTGTTGCTGTAAGGGGCTGTTGAGTTTTGACTAATAGCAGCCCTTTGTTTAAGAACAGGATGCTCGACCCTCACATTTGTTGCTATGCTGGAGTTTATTGTAATTTCCCAGGGACTGGTCCCTCCTGATAAAAAGGCCAAGATATTTGACGACTTGGAAACCATTATTAAAATCCATAAAGATTCCCAGGATATGGTATTAGTAATAAGGTCATGTGTCAGCATGCTGCTTTACATTTTAAATGAAGATCATCTTCATTATCCTATTTGATCTTCTCTATAAGCTTACAGGTGAGTATGCCAGGATATTATTATTTTATCATAGGTGACAAACTCCAGCTTAGAGAAGTTAAATGACTCAAGATCTTATGGCAGAAGTGCGACAGAATCCGGATCCCTTCTCTGATATTTTTTCTACTACTTCATGTTACATTAAAAATTTAATATTGGTGACAGACAGTCCTCAAATGTATCATAAAATACTAGTCAGCATGCTGGAATTTACTTTGAACTCCTTGTCTTGGTCAATCTAAGTTTTTATGAAGGTGATAATTTTCTAAGAAAATAATATTTGTAGATGTATATAATTCCTAATGATAGTTTTGTATGCAGATTATATAATCATTATTGTCTTGCTATCCTATGAACTAAATGACCCCAAAATGCAGAGGCTTAAAACAATCATTTTGTTGTATCTCATGATTTTACGGACAAAGAATTTGAGCAGGGCTTGGCTATGTGATTCTCCTGTTCCCTGTGCATTGACTAAGGCTGTCTAGTGGCCTTTAGTTGGTCAATGTTCCATCTAGAAGCTTCAAGATGGCCTCACCTCCCATTTGATTACATGACTGGGATGGCTGGAAGCTCTGTTAAATTGGGACTCTAGATTGGAGGCTCTGAAAGTGATACGTCCAGAGCAAGGCTCTAGGTTCATAAAATTTCTGACGGGAAAACCCCAGATGCCAATCCACAGTGTTACAGTCAGCAAGAACCAGAAAACCAGACTCACTGCCATAGAGTAGATGCCTGCTCATCGACCTGCCTCAGTGGGTTTCTGAGACTGTAACTCTTTATTGGAAGAGAAAGCCTTGGCCTTCCAGCTGGTTGTGTCTATTGTGCTGAGCTATTGTGCTGAATATTTAACAGAGTGTGTTAGCTGCTGATGGTGTGCTTAGCAGCCTGACTCAGAACCCACTGTGCCACCAGAGCTTCCTACAGCGAGAAAGGAAGACGCCTTCTAGGACAGAGCCTCCGATGTCACCCAGCATCCCTTCCATCGGCCTCTGTGGAGCTCTATCGGCCCTCCCAGAGTCAAGGGGGCGGCACATAGGCCCCAGCGGAGGAGGTGCAGAGGATGTTGTGAACCAGAGGTGTAAATGATAATTTGAGAAAGTAAATGATCTGGTTGTTATGTATTCTATCTCGGAGGTCTAAAGAGTTCTACATAAGTGACTGGTAGGAGCAGATCTATTTGCATCATTTGGGGACCATACTGCAGAGCCATTGTGCTGAATATTTAGCAGGGTGTGTTAGGAAGGGTTGGTGAGAGAAACAAATCCAGTGACACTCATCTATGTATAAGAGAGAGCTTTAGATCAAGAAACAATTGTATATCCAGTCCAACTCAAGTCCGTAATTCCAATACTAACCCACAAGTCCCTCTTCAGACTCTCGTAACCACACACAGTGACACAGACTTCAGGAAGATCACAGGCCTGTGGGTGCAAAGACGAGTGGATCCAAGGTTGGTGGAAACATGGCAGTGGGGTGGGGGGTGGTCCAGCAGCTTCAGAGGGGTCAGTAATCAGGAAGGGAAAACAGAGAGAAAGGGGGACAATCCTAGGGTCCTCTTTATAAGATGGTTTCACCCTCCAAAGCCCACATGGAAGAAGCACACCTGCCTGTGTGATCATGAGGTGTTGACAGGAAGAGGTATCCGAAGTTTGAAAAGTTTAAAAACAAGCAATCACATCTATGCGAAGGGGCGTGGATGTGTGAAGGGGCGTGATGTAGTGGAGACCCCAAACCCACCTGTCAGATGATTGGACAGCCCCTCTCAGAAGGGCCACATGGAAGGGATGATAAATCCAGGATGTGGTATAATACTGATGAACCGCATGACTATCCTCTAGTTCTTTAATATCTCATTTTCTTATATTATGGTTTTTATTTGTTTTACCCCATTAATCATGTTAGATTTGTGTATGTTCATTTGTACACTTAAGATCAATTAGTACATGAAAACCAAGATAGAAAACCCTCCAGAAACAGTAACAGAAGTAATGATTCCCTGAGGCTATGGGAAGAGAGGAGAGGAAGGGGGAATAGGGAACTGATGGCATTGATGACTGTAATGCCACTCAATGGAATCAAACAACAGAATTGTATGAGAATGGATACACTGGATTGTGTAAGATATGGAAACAGACAAACAAACAATTATAGGGCAAAATACAAGGGTTCCTGGGGTGTAAGGTGGGGGAGTGAGGGGATACAGGGGAGCTGATATTAAGGTGTTTAAGAAGCAAGAGAATGTTTCGAAACTGATTGTGGTAGCAATTGTACAGTACTGCTTGATGTGATTGAACTATGAAATGTTATGATATCTGTAAGAACTCCCAATAAAATGATTAAAATTTTAAAAAATCTTAAAAAAATGATCACCCCCTACCCTCAAAGAGACAGAGTCCACCTTTGACCTGATTGACAGGTTGGACACAACCCCTACACTTCATGTTCATGGACACAACCCATGCACATCTTCATGTTGATCCAAAATTATCACACAGGGTTTTTCAAACTTCTTTTGCAGATAAGAAAAACTATGAGTGCTTACTTTCTTGTTTTATTCCTCGAAAGATGGTGGAAGCCAGAGCCCTGGTAATGTAGTGGGTTAGAAGTTGTCCTGTTAACCACAAGGTCAGTTGTTCAAAATCATCAGCTACATCATGGGAAGAAGTGAAGACTTACTGCTCCCCAAAGAGTTACAGTCTCACAAACCCACAGGGGCACTTATACTCTGTTCTGTGGCATCACTATAAGTTGATACAACTCAATGGCCATGAGTGAATTTAAAATTTATTTTGAGAATATAGGATGTTTATACCTATTGAATTCTGGAACCAATTTGAGCTGCATTCAAACCTTTATATTTCAGCAAATGACTTCACTCTTCTAAGTTTCATTTTCTCAAGTGTGAAATGGGCAAATAAAAGTTTACTATTATTAGGGACCCTATGAGCTGAAATCATTCAATAGTAGTGAGGTTCTTTTGTTTTGTTTTTAGGTTATTACTAAGGGGTTGAGCGGTCTTGGTGAGCAAGCCTGCACTGCTAACCACAATGTAGGTGGTTCAAACCCATTAGCTGCTCCTCAGGAGAAAGAAAGATAAGGTCACCTGCTTTCAAAAAGATTTGTAGTCTAGGAGCCTCTGTAGAGGGTTTGCATGAGTCAGGTTGACTCAATGGCAGTGGGTTGGGCTTGATTTTGTTATAACTAATGGACTAGAGGAGAGGGAACCCTGGACGCATAGTGAGTTGTGTGTTGGGCTGCTAACCACAAGGTCAGTAGTTTGAAATCACCACCTACTCTGTGGGAGAAAGATGAGGCTTTCTATTTCTTGGAAACCCACAGTGGAAGTTCTGCGCTCCCTAAAGTGAGTCACTATGAGTCTGCATCTACTCAAAGGCTGTGAGCGAGGGAGTGATGTGGCCAACCTTCTCAAGGCAGATGATCCAATTGCTTCCCACTGATGGACATTGAAAACACAAGTGAAAAGAAAAAAGAGAAAACGCAAAGTGAGCATAAGATTAAAAACTTCAGCAAATCTATAAGTAGATACTAAGAGAACCAACAAATTGACACTTTTCTGAAGGGACTTTCTTAGAAATTCAGAGCACACAAACTGTGGAAAATAGTAAAGGGGGGGAAAAAAGAAGAAGATTAAAAGTCCATTTGGGATATGTTGAGTTTAACAAAGTGCCTCAAGGCTCTTAAAACTCTCCCTTCTTTTTGTGAGTCTCTCAGTGACAATATAAACCATGGCTGTCTAGAAGAAAGCATATTATATACAGCACTTTCCAAATTTATCCATCCTGGGACCATTTTTCTTATGCTGTATTAGCGATATTACTTCAAGGAAATACTGGGGACCATTGATCTAGTGGCAAGACAACATCTCATGCACATAATAAACAAGGGCTTAGAAATAATTGTTCTAAAGCAAGGTGTTAAAATTATTTTCATCTGCCAACCTGAGGGGCTCATCTTCCTGCACTGGGTAGGTGATGCCTGCTGCAAATCATAAAATTTTCATGTCTATCTCCTCCTTCTGCCTAGTCTGTTCTTAGTCTGGAAGGACTGCTAAAATCTGTTCACCATGGGTGACCCTGCTGGTTTAGAAATACAGGCACAGCTTCCAGCATCGCAGCAATCTACAAGCCACCACACAGTTAGGAAAACGGAGAGACAAGTGGGTAGAGCCCTACAGCATGACTCTAAATAGATGAAAATATCTTCTGTATAGAAGATGAGATATCATTAGATACTAAAATTGTGATATTTGTTGATTAATGTAACCTTCCTTCAATTTCAGATGATGTTGGCTGAATACCAGAGAGTAAAGTCAAAAATACCTCCCACCATTCAGCAACTGCTGGCCCCCCATTTAGCCAGAGTGGATGAAGCTCTCCACCCGGGCTTGGCTGCCCTGAACTGGACATCACTGAATATTGAGACGTATTTAGAAAGCACATTTGAAAAGATCAGTAAGTCCATCGAAATGTCTCAATGTTGAATCTGTATGGGGTTGCTAGGAGTCAGATGCCAGTTTAATGTCTGCTGCCTTCTCTTCATCATGGCCCAGTACTCTGCAGCTCAGAATAACTTCCCTCCCAAGAAACCCAATCTGGCCGTGGTGCTACATGTGGACACTTTCTACTCTGACCTCCTGTTGGACCAGAAACCCCACATTTGGTTGTCTTTTAGTGGTTCATCATGGCTCCAATTGTCTTCCCAAACTGACTGTAAAATATATGAAAATCGAGTTGTTTCTGTTACTTCTTTTACCTTCCGTTTAGTTGGGTGGCATACCTGATGCCCACATACTTACGGATTCATATTCACAGCGTTCTCTACATTCGGCTCTTTCTAGTCGTTTACCATCCTTACAGCATTCTTACCCCTTGGCATCAATAAACTCATTGCTGGCTCACCCTTTTCTGGATCTCTCTTCTGGCTAGCTTTTCTGTTGATCCACTTAGCAATATCCTCATCTTGATGTCTTCCCTTAGTCTGGCATGTGTGGCTGTGGAAGTGATACATAGTGTTCTTATAGTTCTAGATTATCAAGGGTTGGTTTTCCATGTGCCTTCCAGATACATTAAGCAGGCTCTGAGGTGGCACAAATGACTAGCACTTGATGGCTAGCCTAAAGGTTGATGGCTAGAACCCACCCCACCGAAAGTGAAAGAAAGGCCGATGGTCTGCTTCTCTTAACATTGTACCCAAGGTAGAGCTCTCTCACAGTGACTATGGGGGTAACTCTATGCTGTGACAACTGACTTCCAGGAGTTAGAATCAATGACAATTCATTTCTTATCTTTTGGCATCTAAAGAATCTTCCCCAAATACTGGGGTGGTTGGTAAAACCAGGAAATGGTTCTATACATTTGGAACTGATTCAAAGGGGACTTAGGATCTGCATGTGTTTTAGGCTCATTCAAATTTGAAGTCTGAATCAATACAAGCCATATGATCAGATCACCACAAAACAGAACAGGGAGAAGATTGTAAAAATAATCTTAACTTGAAGGTTAGAAAGTTAAGATCCAGCAATACTCAATGACTGCTAATGTCACATTGGGATGGAGTCCTTGGGTGGCATGACAGGTTAACCACTGTGCTGTTAGCTGAAAGGTTGGCAGTTCAAACCCACCCCAAAGCAAAGTGGAACACAGGGCTGATGATCTGCTGCTGACAAGTCACAGTCTTGGAAACACTACCTGCCTAGGACGTTCTACTCTGCGCCCAGGCTTGTCACCATGAGGCAAAATATACCCATGCTTGTCTACTCTGCTTGTTCTACCATGCTTGTTCTACTCTGCGCCCATGCTTGTCACCATGAGGCAAAGTACACTCCAAGGCAATTAGCAACACCTGCTCTATAGATGTGCGCAGTAGGGATTGGTGGGGAATCTAGTTCTCGTGAGTTTAAGTCAATATTATACCCAAAATATATTTCCACAGGAAATAGAACAAGAGGAAATTGGCTAAAATTCTAGAAGGAAGCACTTAGAAGATGTATAGACACTTCATAATAAAAGTTCCGAGAACCAAATTAGAATAGACTATCAACGTAGATGTTAATAATAGCCTCCCTAGAGAATATGAGTGCTAGGATTAGAGTGTTAACAATTTGGATGTAATAGTGTTGCCTGGAGACAGGGTGATTGTTTCTAAGGAAACCCTTCTTTGTCCTCTGATTTTTTTTAACATTCTTTTTGCAATTTAAATTAAGGAAATGAGACGGAACAAAGATTAGTTTTCTGTTGTTGACTCTTAATAACCGTTGGATTCTTTACTCGACCAGTGAACCAATTCTCTTACTTATAGGTGATTATTTGTCCCCAAAGAAGCCCTGGTAGTGCAGTGGCTAAAGTGACTTGTTGTTAACCGAAAGGTCAGTAATTTGAGGCCACCTGCGGCACCGAGGTAGAAAGATGCTAGGTCCTGCTTCAGCAGAGTCAGCCTGGGAGACTCCCTGAAGCAGTTCGACCCTCCTTCAGGTCCACTCGACAGCGATGGGTGTGGATTTCCTCAGTGATTTGTAGCAAACACTGAAGTGAGCACTGGCTACTCCTCAAAATAGCAGGCCGAGCTTCCATGGACATGGTTTTGTGTAGTCTGTGCATGTGATAGCCGGTGTTTCATTCTACTGTACATTGGCTCATTATGAGCCAGAACCAACTTGATAGCACCTGCCAACAACAACATGCATGCCAGTTGCTGTGCATTGGACTCTGACTCAGGGTACCTCGGACATATAAATGCAAAACTGCAATCCTTAGGGTTTTCAGGGACTGATTTCTTTCTCTCTTTTTTTGATCACCAGGTCTTTTTTTTTTCTTTGCAAAAAAAGGTGAACGCAAATCGTCAACTTTTTGGTTGGCAGCACCACGTTGGTACTACTAATCTGTGCACCCTATTTCATACTGGTTGTCTTTGAGTCTGTTTTGACACAGGCAATCCCATGTGTTACAGACCAGAACTGTGCTCTGTGAGGTTTTATTGGTGAAATATTTTGACAGCAGATCCCCAAGCCTTTATTCTGAGGTGGTGCCTTTGGGCATATTTGAACTCCAATCCCTTGGTTAGTATTTGAACCCTTAACCATTTGTGTCATCCAAGGGCCTTATCCATGCTTGACTCCCAAACTAAACTCCTACCATCAAGGCAATGGTGACTCTATGGGACAGACTGGAACTTCTCCTGTGAGTTTCTGAGGTTGTAAGTCTTTATGGGAGTAGAGAGCCTCATCTTTCTCCCAGAGTAGCTCGTGGTTTTGAACTGCTGACCTTGCTTAACTCATGACTCACTATACCTCCAGGGCTCCTAACAACTGTATAGTGGGGCTTCAGATTTCAGGCGCAGTACGAGTCAGACACAGGCAGGCTGAGGAAGCTGAGACATTCAGAGAATAAAACCCAAACCAAACTTGCTGCCATCGGGTCAATACTGACTCATAGCAAACCCCCCACTTGTGGGTTTCCTAGACTGCAACTGGTTACAGGAGTAGAAAGCCCAATATATCTCCTTTGGAGCTGCTGGTGGTTTTAAACTGCTGACCATGTGGATCACAAACCACTGTCCCACTGGAGTTTCTGGTTCAAGAATAGTGTGAGAAAATGAAGAGGTCACCCAGGGCCTGTCTAGGGGATATGATGTCAACTAATACCAAACTAATTACTGTCATCTGGATTCTACTACTGTGGGCTACTCATGTTGATTTAAAAGAATAACAAAACCAGAATGCTCTAATTTCTCCATCTCTTTCCCCCACTCCTCTAACTTTCCTTCTTCTTTCCAGAGGAACTAGAATCGCTGCTGGACAGGCTCAGCGACTTGATTGAGTTCCGAATCAATACCATTCTGGAAGAAATGAGCAGCACACCCCTCTGCCAGCTCCCCCAGGAAGAGCCACTGAGCTGTGACACATTCCTTCAGAAGACGAAGGTCATTGCCATTGCTACCTGCCGTTGAGCTGATTCTGACTCATGGTGTCCACATGTGTGCAGAGTAAAACTGGTCCAGAGGGATTTGCTTCAGAGGGTTTCAGGATGTTTTTGAACCACCAGCCTTCCAAGCAATTAACTATTTGTATCACCTAGGGATTATAAGGGAGCCTGGTGGCATAGTGGTTCTACATTGGGCTAACGGACTGCAAGGTCAGTAGTTTGAAGCTATCAGCCCCTCTGAGGGAGAAAGAAGAGGCGAACTACTCCTGTGAAGTGTGCCAGTCTTGGAGACCCACAGGGGCAGTTCTACCCTGTCCTATAGAGGCACTAGGAGTTGGAATCAACTCGACGACAGTGAGTCTGAATGTTTGAGAGGGACCACAGAGAACACTGGAGGGCTGTTATTTTTCACTTTACTTTGTGTGTGTGTGTGTGTGTGTGAGATTCATTTTGCTCTAAAGAGAGGGTATTTGTGAAGCATTTGTGACTGCTCACTGCTAAAAGGAATCCGAGATCTGAACTTCTGACCAAATGCTGAAAATGAAGAGCAGCTTTCCCGAGGGGTCACTGAGGTGGAGCAACAAGTCACTACTTTTCAGATCACTCAGAAGGAAATTTTCATGGAACACATTTACAATTTCATCCCCAACCCCTAAGTAACAGAGTTAGGACAGCTTCTAGGAAGCGAAGGTTAATTTAATGAAATAGTTGATTTACACAAATTCTGGGCACGATGTAATCATTTCTATAGAGCCATGTTCCAGAGCTGTTAGGCAAGCTGGGAAAGTTGGGGTCTGGGTGTCAGTGTTTAGGCGATTGACTGCACTGGTGGGCCTCTCCCTTTACAGGGAGAGTGCACACCAGGATCTGAAAAGAAGGTCTCCTGGGAGAGAGTTCACTTAGCTTTCTTTAACCCGTCCTTTCCCAACGTATTTGCCAGTGAGGCATTCTCTGCCTTGTCCAAACCCACCGCCACTGAATCGATTCCAGCTCAAAGCGACCCTGTTCCCAGCTCAGAGCGACCCTAAGTTCTCCTGTGGGAATGCCAACTTTGGCATCGCTACAAGACCAGTCGTTTAGATACATCAACCTCTTCTAGGAAGAGAGATGGGACTGCATGTTTCCATGAACATTTATGGTCTCAGAAACCCTATCTAGGGTTATGACAAGTCAGAATAGACTCTGTGCATGTGAGTGGGTTCTTTTCAGCATCATGGGATCTTCTCAGAATGGCCTTCCTGATTGCATGGATTTTTCAGCAATGATTTTAATTTGGGTATCTGAAACACCAGGCCTTGAGTGGTTTAAACAGTTAACATGCCCAGCTGCTAATGGAAAGATTGGCAGCCCAAGTCAGTCCCTCAGAGGTGCCTTAAAAGATAGGCCTGATTATCAAATTCCGAAGAACCAGCACAGAAAACCCATCGGAGCATAGTTCTGACACACATGGGGTCACCATGTATCAAGCTGAGTTTTGGTTGCAGCTCCCTAAGACCACGCTGTAGGTGGAGTGGGGTAGGAAGGACTTGTGGAAGTCGGCATATAGTTGTACTGAAGCCAAAGATTGATGGAGTAGGGAGTCAGAGCTGGGTTATACGGGAACAGAGTCAGAAGAGGAATCTAGCTAAGTCTCATGCTCTTTCCCATCAGGATGGGCTACACAGAATGCACTCTTTTCCTAGCAATGAATATGCAGCAGCGTGTGTGCTGTTTCTGCCCATGAAAACCCACTGAAGACTCAGAGCCTAAGGTTTTATTGTGCGTGGTCACATAGGTACTCTTAGCCTACCATGTACCAAACGCTCTTGTTAGAGTCCAACAACATCGTGTCACGGTGATTCCAGCTCATAGAGACCCTCTATGTACAACAGAACGAAACACAACCCGGTCCTGTACCACCTTCACTTTTGTTGTAATCCCTGAACTCACTGTTTCAACCACTGAGTGCAATGCATTTCATCTGGGATCTTCCTCTTTTGCACTAGACTTTTACATTACCCAGCATGATAGCCTCTTCCAGGGACTGGTCTCTCCTGATAGCGTGTCCAAAGTACTTGAGGTGTAATCTCCCCATCTTTGCTTATAAGGAGCATTCTGAGAGAATAGGCCCTGGAAGAGGACATCATGCTTGGTAAAGTATTGAAAAAGAGGATGATCCTTGACGAGATGGATTGACACAGTGGTTGCAGCAATGGGCTCAAGTGTAACAATTGACGATGGTGTAGGCCTGGGCAGTGTTTCTTGCTCTGCTGTGCACAGGGTCACAATGAGTTGGAGCTGACATGATGGCTCCTGACAACCAACTTTATTGCTTTGTGTTGTAGGAAGCAAGATCATGTACTGAGTATGATGGGCAGGGTGGTGTAAAGATTTGAGGGCACCAAGGTTTGAGAACAGAACTGTCTAGGTTCTTGTAGAGGGCAGTGATTATGGTCATGCAGAACGATTCCTGGGTAGCCTTAGGAAGCCAGTTGCATTTGGAAGTGATGAATTCCCAGCCCAACATCTGGGAATTCTAATCTGTATTTTAATGAGAAGGTAGATCACTTGCCTCATCTGTGCTGGGCTTCTCCTGGGTGGGTGTGGTGGAAGACTAGTTGGAGAGGAAGCGAATATCTTTATAAGTAAGTAGCCCACGATGCTGTCTTGTTGGGAAAGAAAAGGAGAAAAAGGAGACTGACTAGAACAGGTTTGTGAGATAGGAAGAGGCTGCTGATGACTTTTGTATTTTCTTCACTCCTGGAGAAGCTCATAAAATAGTGAGCTTCCGTGCATCCGTGTTGCTCCATTTGGTTCCCTGTGTTTACCATATTCCTTTCCAGGACTTCTGGCCGAGTTAGTGTCTTGGTTTTCTAGTGCTGCTGTAACACAAATACCACTAATGAATGCCTTTAAAGAACAGGAAGGAAGCTTTCCACAGTTATGGAAGCTGAAAGTCCAAACCAGGGGCTTGACATATTGATCCATTCCTTGCTGGTAGTCCTGGACATTCCTTGGTTCCTTGGAAATCTTTGGTTTGTAGGTGACCCATACCTGTAATCTGTCTTCCCCTGCCTGTGTCTTTGTGCCTTTTCAAGCCTTTTTAACACTCAGAAGGGATTAGGAGCATCTTTACTCTTCTACGACCTTAATAGTATAACAAAAAACCTCCATTTCCCAAAGATTAATGTCCCGTGGTCCAAGGAATGGAATTCAACACATATTTTGGGAAGACACAATTTAGTCCATATTTGTTAGGGAGAATGGTACTGCCCAGCATCTTTGGACACGAAAACATCACCTCAGGGTGAGGTTACCATTAGTGATGTGCTCGTAAGAGCTAGATAAGCAAATATGAAACTCTTCTTTTTTTTTTTTTTGCACAGGACCTTTGTGTAAATGGGGCTCAGATACTTAATTTCAAAAGCTCATTAGTGGAGGAAGCTGTCAATGAGCTAATAGATATGTTGCTGGACGCAGACGTTCCATCTAAAGAAGAATGTGAAAAACCATCCCATGAGAATAGGGTTGATTCAAAAAGTGAAAGTTCAGGTAAGAGATATGGTCATGGAGGAGATTGCTTTATTTAGAACGTTTTTTGAAGTCTAAAGTGGAATTTTCAACATAGCCACTAATTTCATACTTCTATCAACACCTTAATTTTATAATGATATATAGAAATGAGAAATAATGAGTCTGAGCATAATGTCATGAGCTCCATGTAATTAATTTCCACTATATTTGGTTAAACGTTGTACATGTGTGGATTGCATTGGCTCTTGTCAGTTTGCCAGGCATTTTGACATGGGTGTGTGCTTTTTTACATCTCATGAATCAAGTGGAATGTGTCCTGGGTTGGCAGTCCCTTTGGAAAGCCTCTAGAGTCTAGACCAGCGGTTCTCAATCTGTGGGTCATGACCCCTTTGGAGGTCGAACGACCCTTTCACAGGGGTTGCCCGATTCATAGCAGTAGCAAAATTACATTTATGAAGTAGCAATGAAAATAGTTTTATGGTTGGGGGGTCACCACAACATGAAGAATTGAATTAAAGGGTTGCAGCATTAGGAAGGTCGAGAATCACTGGTCTAGAAAGATGAGGACACTGAGTTGAAGAGGAGGGAAGTTTTGACCCCCAAGGTTCGATGGCCTTGGGTAGAAGAGAGTGTCATCAGAATTCACCCCCTGTGGCCAAGTCTAGCTTTTCCATCATTGTTCCCATTTCCCTCCTGGGTTATTTCCTCACACGGAGGAGAAGGGTTCCCCACCAGTTCACATAGAACCCTAGCTTCTTTTCCTACCTCTGGGTAGCTTCATTTTCTAACAAGCATGGTGCTTAAGTAGTTTTAAATTGCACATAATTTATCTTAATTTATCTCCCTCTCATTGTCACTGTTTACTTAGTTGCAGCCACAGATCTATTTAATTACAAACCCACATTTAATCACAATGCATGATTCTCTCTTGTGTGAGCCTCTCTATCTTTTCTTGCTCTTTTCCCTTCTGCCTTTATCACAGAAAAAAAAGAAGGAACATCTGACACTGAGATAGCTTCCCTTAATGCTAGCGAGACAGGGGCTGGCCTCCTCTCCTTGACGGCAATCAAGAGAAGGAAGAAAGAGATGGAGATGTTAGAGGAAGAAGCCTGTGAATTGCTTTCTCATTTCAATCATCAAAACGCAGACGCTCTGCTGAGAGTTACCAGGAACACACTAGAGGCCCTTCGCAAGCGCATTCATGCTTCCAACTCTGTTCACGTCCGGGGTAAGAGTCCTATGCCGTTGTGTGCTGGCCGCCCAGGAAGAGATACTGGCATGTGTGTTGTGTGCGTGCACGTGTGTGCTTGTGTTGTTGCTTTGGATGCCATCTGGCTGAATTTCATTTTAGAGCTGCTCCCTGACACAGAGCACGTTAAGGTATTTTCAATAAACATGTATAAAATAATACATGCAGTATCGTTACCTCTATATTTATCCCTGTATTGATTCCCAACTTTAAAGAACTCTTCCATACAAATAGCGAGTTACACTTCCTTTTCTGTTCCACTTTTAATGGCTCTGAGTTTGGAGTATACACTTTCTCATAGAAAAGACTCGTTTTGTTTGAAATTTCATTCTGGTTATTTGCACTAGCACTGACTAATTCTGATAGTTACTTTTTTATTAATTGGGATTTGATACATATATCATTCCATAGTTGAGTCACGTCAAGTAGAATTGTACAATTGCTATCACAGTTTCTAGACATTCTTTTTCTACATGGACTCCTAGAATCGTGTCCATTGTACCCTTCCACCACTTCTGTTCTCCCCCCTCCCCACGAAACCCTTATTATACTTGCTGTCCTTTTAAGTTCATCAGTCATGGGTTTCATATACCAAAAAGCAGAAAAGCATATAACACAACTTCAAAAGGGTGACCTCCAATGACATAACACCCCTGAGACACACCCTAATATGAACAAACAAAACCAAAACCAAACAATACAAACCAAAAATTCACAGAATTGTGGAAACTAGGTACCGTCCATCCTTCATCCTAGGGAGACTCATTTACAAAGTTTTAACTTAAATTCAGGTCAGATTTATGCTTTTGGTCTCCTATACTCATCTCGCCCAAGCATTCTTTGATAGTTACTCTTGTTACTCATCCATCCATCCATCCATCCATCCATCCATACATTTATTTATTTATTTTGCTTGCTTAAGACTTATATGACTAACTTGCTGACATCCTGTTATTTGTCCAGCATCATCTGTCAAGAGCTTGGGTGACAGTTTATATATTTAGGGCCAAATCTTATGCAGCACATTTCCTGTATGCTGGAGGACAGTTTTCCTGCTGTTGCTAAGTATCTCTTAGAAGATTCCAACTCACAGAGACTTAAGTACAACAGAAGGAAACACTGCTAGCTTCTGCACC